CAAACGAACTTCAACCAGGACGTGAGTGAGCGATGCGAACGTGCTCATCTTGAAAATTTATGAGCATTTGACATATAACACATCATTAGGACAGGACCAACGTCTGTCGGGCCAGCTAGTAATTTATAAATATGTTGAGAGAATAAATGCTTAAGATTTAAAACTTAGAACGTGGGGTGCATGCAATAGCTAATCTAATTTACAATTACCTTCACTTATTAAACTATTATTATCTATTGCATGCACCCTAAGTTTTTCGCTTTTTAAATCTTAAGCATTTATTCTATATAGATATTTATAAATTATTTTCTACTTTTTAGCGAATTTCCCATATAGGGAATATTAGGGAATTTTCTATATAGGGAATATGCTATTACCGTAGTACTCATGGTAAGACCTGGACCCGGGACCGATTTAATTTTTCGTTTTGAGGTCCCTAAATGCCAAAAATACCATCCGTTCAAATTCACACATATATATATATTAAATTATTGTAGTAAATAAGTACAACTGAGCACCCTGAATATTATATATATATATATATATTTTTAAGAAGTGACATGTTTCGGACATAAGTCCATTTTCAAACTTCAAATACATTAAATACCTAACTGTTGTTTTTATATATATATGTCCGTTAGTGCGATAACTCGAGCAAAAATGATCCGATTTTGATGAAATTTGGTACAAAAGTGTAAACCTACGTTTATTCGAGTTCCCAAACCAGCATAATCGGACCATGGGAACGGGGGTTTATGGGAGGGTTTTATGGGGTCAAAATGGGTTTTTCCCATTTTTGACTCTAAAACAAAAAGTTTTGCAATTTCTTTCTAAACCGTTTTGTAGAGCTTTAAAAAGAAATAATTTAGTATATTGAAGCGCTGTTGTATGCCTAAAGGTCACAGAGAAAACTAAAAAATAGTGTAATTAAAAATTACTATGTTATTCTTATGGAGAAAATGAAAACTGTTGTAGTTTACTTGTTTATAGATATTTATTGATAAAATTTGGCAAATTTATTTATTTCATCCTATACTATTGACGTATGGTCAAAAAACACTTTTTACCTTCCCCGTCGCAGCAAACCTAAGCACTCATTAAATCTAATGTTATTTAAACTAGCTGTTACCCACGGGCTTCAACCCGTTTTTGACTTCATAAGTATTAATAAAACTATTGATTGGTTAAGTTAAGCTGAAATAAACAATACAGATTACAGCCATTGAGATATAGATTATAACATTAGAGAAAAACGTGCCACTGTTTTTGCTGGTTTGTTTTCGGCATTTCATGTTGTTAGGTTGGCCGTGTGATCGGTTGGTGAGATGCTGTCAAATTCCAATTCATTCTAACCTAACCATACTATTTATTTGAGGTTAGGCCTATCCGTTATTTCAAGGACTTGTATCAAAAACTTATTTAAGTTATTGCACGTTAAAACCTGTGCATTTAAAGTTATTTTGAAACATTATAAATTTTTTTGATAGTAAATAAATAGGCTACTAACTTATTTACCTCTTTTCAAGCTATGTGGTGAAAATAGGCTAGTCAAGTTTCCTGGTTTGGTGATATTGGTTTGTGCTTGGGTTTAGCCCTATGGCATTTGATAAAGAACGACCATCGGTTTATGATCTTGTTAAAAAGGGTTGCTCTTGCTTGTAAAATAAATAATTAAACTTATATTGCAATCATAATGTTGACATATTTTTGTTTGCTATCAACAAGACAATAGGATGACGCCATCTTGATCTTGCCTCTAATTTGACAACTCCCACCAACTGATCACTTGGCCAACCTAACAACACGAAGCTCTGAAACAAAACCATCAAAAACAGTGGTACGTTTTTAAAACACAGAGTGGTTACTCCAGTTATATTATTATAGCTCAGTGATTACAGCATTACAAACAAACTAGTGGCTTGTAGGGACAATAGCCCCTATATACATTCTAGTAATTATTTTGTTCAAATTATTAGTCTCATGGGTTACCCTACCTTGAATAATTGTTTAACATTTTTATAAATTATAATATGTATGATAGTTATGACATAGCTGCACAAAGTATTTTGATGTCTGCTCTGTTTAAAATAGGCTAAAAATTCCAAAGGACTGTTTATGCGGTATGTATATATTTTAAACTTTTAATCATAATACAACTAAGAAACATTTTCAATAGTAATCTTCATGACTATTAATTAAATATGCATAAATTTTGTTCAATACAGACAAATTCATAAAAAAAACACATAGAGATAATGTCATCATCCAAATTGTAAAATGCAACATCTCTCTGTTTTACAGTACCCATTTTAGTAGATTCCTCGGTCTTTATTTGGTAGTATTTTAACATCATCTGGCCGCTTTACTCGGCTAAAAGCAACATAAAGCTGATCACTGAAACACTGGTTTTTTTTCCAAATAAATGCCAACTTTTGTGAAGGTTCGTCCCCGAGTCTCCTGTTCCCAGCTCTCCTGCCACAGCTGGTAGGTGCGGGTGCGTTCCTCTGTTCGTGCCTGGTCCTCCCCACGGCGCTGATAAATTGCTTTTCTCTCCGCCGCCAAAAGTTTGAGATGACTCCAGCAACCACCAGAACGGCGGGTTCAGACACTGTTCGGTAGGCGGATGCAACTCTTAGTGCTGCCTGACGCTGCACTCGGGCGAGCCGCATCCTATATACCTCCTCATTTAGAGCGTCTGCCCACACCTCAGCACCGTACAAGAGTACGGACTGGACAGAAGACATTAACAGCCTTCTACGGCTGGACCGAGGCCCTCCGACATTGGCCATCAACCGGCTAAGAGAGGAGACCACCCTAGCGGCCTTATCCGCCGTACGGAAAATCTGATCCCGCTAGCTAAGCTTGCTGTCCACCATAATCCCAAGGTACTTGGCAGAACGAACGGTCTGGACTTCGACGGCCACAGGCGGAATACTGAGAAAACAAAAAATCCTCGATACAGAATATACTTATGGCAAAATAAAACATGATTTGACGTTAGATTAGATAAGGAGTGAAAGTAAGAGATAAGAATAGCGCGAGAGATAAACAATGACGCTCACCGGTCTGTAGCGGTACGCTGACTTTTGCCGCACCCGGTATATTATAATTATAATAGGCATTATACAAAATTTAAATTGGTTTCGTCTAAACCATTCAAACATTTGACAAAACAACCTTGGTAAATTTGGCTATAATATGTTCAGCCGTTATTGAGATTATGAGTTAGAAAGTTTGTATTGAAGTTGATCCCAAAGAGCTTCGCTTCGCTCCGTTCAATAAGGACACAGATAGTCTTGAACATGGATGTAGTGCCTGACTACTTACCTGTACATTAATTTTATTTAACAGATGATATTTATTTGTTTCTAATTCATTCAATTATTATTGTTAACTTTATCTTTTTACCAAATACACATATTTTTACTCTTGTCTAGCATTAGTGAGTTCACAACTTCATTTGGTGACCCCGACGTGATCCAAAATGTCAAACGGAGAACAATCAGTAGACAGAATTCAAGTCAAGATCCCTCCTTTCTGGCACTCAGATCTAGAATTGTGGTTTGCACAAATCGAAAACATAGAAGCAGAAACAGTAGCACGAGCACTTTTTACCACTTGGATTTCTAGATACGGAACACCACTACGAATTACAACAGATCAAGGTTGGCAATTTGAGCAAAGCCTGTTTAAACACCTAGGAGATTTGTTAGGTTCGACTCCTCTCAGAACAACTTCCTATAACCCATCGTCAAATGGGCTAGTTGAACGTTTTCACCATCAGCTGAAGGCAGCCATCAGATGCCACGCAACAGCACGATGGACTGAGGTGTTGCCCGTCATACTTTTGGGAATACGGATAGCATGGCGTGATGATCTACAAGCTTCTTCAGCTGAACTCCTTACACTTAGCGATTCCAACCATGAAATTGACCCACAAAGTTTTGCCAAAGATCTGCGTCAACATTTCAACAGCTTAAGACCAGTTGATGGAACAAGACATGGAGGTAGGACGCCATTTGTGTTCAAGGATCTCAACACATGCACTCATGTCTTCGTACATACCGACATTTCTAAGGGTGCACTTGATCCCCCCTACTCAGGTCCTTACCTCGTCATTAGAAGATCTGAAAAGATTGCAGTTATTCGGATTCGAGGCAATGATGTAACCATCTCAATGGATCAACTTAAGCCAGTCTATTCCTTAAAACTCGACCATGATGATACCAGCGTTTCCAGAGACACCATAAATAGGCTACTACTCCTCCCTTTTCTCATTCTGGCATTCAAAAACGAGGTACCTCGACATCTAAACCTATTTTGAGATCTACACCATTAACTACGCGCTCTGGGAGGCAAGTTCATTTTCCAGTAGTTGATTATTTTTTCGTGTTTGCTCAGCTACACAGCTCAACCACTGGCAAGGGGGTACTGTAGTGCCTGACTACTTACCTGTATATTAATTTTTATTTAACAGATGATATTTATTTGTTTACTAATTCATTCAATTATTATTGTTCACTTTATCTTTTTACAAAATACACATATTTTTACTCTTGTCTAGCATTTGTGAGTTCACAACTTCAATGGACACAGATAGTCTTGTACATGGACACAGATAGTCTTGTACATGGAGTTTATTTTAACTATTTGTTTTATTTTAAAATGCACCACTATCACGGAACACTGATTCTTGAATTGTTCTTTGCAAAGAACGGTTTGCGTCAATAAAAAAAATTAAAAAACGGATCCATCAAAACCGGATCCAGCCCATGATCCGAATTTTTGTGGATTCGATCGGGCGTCAGTTCTAGCTCAGATCCAGCGCGCCCGGTAGTCCTATATCCGGATCAGACCATCACTAATATAAATGTGAAAGTTTGGAGTATGTTACATGGTCAATTACGTAAAAACTACTTGACCAATTGAAAGGTTTTTTTTATTAATAGAGCCAATATTACCACATTCCTAATTGACAAAGGCATATTTTATTTTAATACCTGCATATAGAGCTTGGCTAGTGCAATCTCCACTCGGGTGTCTTTAGGCTTGTATTGTAGAGCCCGCTTGTAATAGCTGATAGCTGTGTCGTGGTCGCGCGATGCACTTGCATACTCCGCCAGTTGAGCACACATCTTAGCATTGAGTGTCACCTCAGATGGTCCCAGCCCTTCTCGTGACTCCTTGATTACTTGCATTGCACCAGGTATATCTCCAGATTTTTCTTTTACCTAGAAAGAGAAAACCAGAGTTGTTAAAAGTTCAAACTACAACTATCTTACAAAAGGAACCTTTCCTTTACTTCATCTACTGACAAAAGCTGTGACGCAACAGTGCAAACAAAACTTAGTCAAAAGAAAGACTATTTATCCATAGGTACTAGTTTAATTGTTTATTGTTTATTCACCTTATCAAAAATATATTTTAGTATTTTTTATAGAGGTGTGCGGATATCCAAAAAATCGGGTCGGATTCGATTCGGTTCGGATATCCGTATCCGAACCGAGCCCAAATTTGATATCCGACACTATCTGTTATATATTCAACTTTTTCGGATAGACATAGACAACATATTTTGACGTTTTGGACAGAAAACTAAATCTACATAACCATCATTAGTTTCCCAGGACAAAATTACAACAATACGTTTCCAACGACCTAACAGCAAACGACAAAGAAGCCGTATGATGCAATACCGATATCTAGTTTAGTCGTTATCGGCTGTTTTGCTTTACGATTACATTCATCTGGAACGAACAGACATAAAGCAGAAAAGAACAACTAAGGTCAAATGAAAGTCAACTCGTGCTTCATTTCATTTCATTTCATTTCAAACAATCTTTATTCTTTTAGTACATATTTACATAGTACATTGAACAGTGTCGAAAAGTGATTCTTTATTATAACTTAAACTGTTTTCTAACTTATTTCTACATTTTTTTACCATAAAAAGAAGGCTATTTATACTATTACTATTGAGATTATCAACAAAACAAACAACAATCGTAAATAAAATAAGAAAGTAGTAAAATATTCTAAACATCCAAAAGCCCTTCAAGTCCCAGAAGGTTTTGAATTAAACTCTGGGTCAAGAAATTCTTGTATATTATACAATGCTTTAGTGGTTATAAAATCTTTAAGTTTCCTTTTTAATATTCTTGGATTCGGCTCTTGTCTTAAGGTTAATGGTAATTTGGAAAAAAATAATGCTCCAGCATAAGTAGGTTTCTTTTTAAATAGTTCCAAATTATGTATGGGTATTGCAATATTGTTCCTATTTCTAGTATTATATTCATGAGTACTTCCTAATGGTTTTAGAGTATGTTCCCTTTCCTTGAAGTGGATGATAGTTTGATATACAGGTTGAATTTTAAATGAGTTCCCCCCCTACTTTTTTCTACATTTCTTAAGATATCATCTCCGGACCACGTCAGATCATTGTTTAGTAGTAAGTACTTCATGTTGACTGGGTATACATTTTTGGCCGCCATCTTGGATCCGCCATATTGGATACAAAGTTTTTTTTTTCAAATGTAAAAGTAGGGTTGTGACCCATTATTCCAAACTAGAATTTTACGCTGATTACAATGCCGCAATTAGTTTTTAAAAATCTTGATTCGTTCTAAAGTTAAGAGGACTTTTTATAACTTTACTTTTAGCGCATTTTAACATTGTGCATTTACAAACTAAGACCATAATCTCAAAATAGTGCTAGATAAAGATAAGTATACACCACCATTCATTGTCAACATATTTTCACTTGGTTATGACGGATGTAGTTTTTGCAGCTGCCATCTTGGATCCGCCATTTTGAAATGTGATCAATTAATATAAATATGAAGGTGGTGTTGTGACCCATCATTTTGAGTTACTTTTTTATGCTGAACTCAATGCCGCAATCCGTTTTTCATTTGCATCTTTGGATTTTGAAATATTGAAATTTTAAATAAGAGTATTTTAATATTTCATCAAGAAAGCTTGATAACCAAAAACGGATTGCAGCATTGAGTCCAGTATAAAAAAGTAGTTCAAAATGATGGGTCACAACACCACCTTCATATTTAAATTATTGATCACATTTCAAAATGGTGGCTCCAAGATGGCGGCTGAAAAAACTACATCTGTCATAACCAAGTGAAAATATGTCGACAATGAATGGTGGTGTACACTTGTCTTTATCTAGCACTATTTTGAGATTATGGTCTTAGTTTGTTAATACACAACGTTAAAATGGGCTAAAAATAAAGTTATAAAAAGTCCTCATAACTTTAGAACGAATCAAGATTTTTAAAAACTAATTGCGGCATTGTAATAAGCGTAAAATTCTAGTCTGAAATAATGGGTCACAACCCTACCTTTACATTTGAAAAAAAACTTTGTATCCAATATGGCGGATCTAAGATGGCGGCCAAAAATGTATACCTAGTCAAAATGAAGTACTTACTACTCAACAATGATCTGACGTGGTCCGGAGATGATATCTTAAGAAATGTAGAAAAAAGTAGGGGGGAACTCATTTAAAATTCACCCTGTATATACATCCCATAGACTGTCATTATTTTAAGTGCAATAAAATATTCTTTTACATGTGTTTTTCGTGGAAGTTTCAATATACGCCTCACCGCTTTTTTTTATATTTAAGAATTGTATAGATGTTATTTAAGCTTGTACAACCATATAAGGAGATGCCATAAGATATTATTGAATGTATATATGAAAAATAAACTAGTTTTAAAGTTTCAGTTTCACAGAAATACTGCAATCTGCTAAGGGCAAAGACACCTGAAGATATTTTAGCAATTAATTCTTGTACATGGGAGTTCCAGTTTAGATTTTGATCTATTGTTAGACCTAAAAATTTAGTTTTGTTTGTTTTACTAATTGCTTGATTTGTCCCGATATTTAGACTATCAGATGGATATTTTGCAGCCTGTGGGGTTTTAAAATTGATGAAAATTGTTTTTCTTTATTTATTGCTAAATTATTCTGAGTGAAGTAACTAGACAAAGTGGTCATATTATACTTAACTGATAGTTCTGTCTCACTAAAAGTTTTATCTGATATTTTTAAAGTGGCATCATCAGCATATAGAACTAATTTACTTGTGCCAGTCGGTGTTGGTATGTCTGCCAAATAACAGTTGAAAAACAAAGTTGAGAGTATTGATCCCTGTGGTATGCCATTTTTAATTTCTAAAAGTTGAGAGTTGTAATAATGTTTGAAGTTGTTAGAAAGGTTTACGATTTGGACAAACTGTTTCCTATTGGTGAAATATGATTTTATCCAATCAAAAGCTCTATCTTTAATACCTATTCTATGCAGCTTGTCTAATAAAATTGGGTGGGAAACAGAGTCAAACGCTTTACTCAAATCTATAAAAATTCCAATCGCTTTTTCATGATTATCTACTGAATCAATAACCGACTCAATCAAATCAGCCGCTGCTGTTAATACAGACTTTCCTGTTCGAAAGCCATGTTGTTCAGGCTTTAAAATATTGTTTGTTTCTAGAAATGACTCTAACTGTTTATATGCTACTTTTACAAATATTTTAGATATTGATGGAAGGATCGCTACCGGCCGGTAATTAAGTGGATCCGCTTTATTTCCTTTCTTGTAAATAGGCTTTAATTTTGAGATTTTCAGCTTCTCAGGATAACTTCCATGGAGAAAAGAGGCATTAATGACATGTGCAATTGGTTTGATCAGTTGTTGTTTAGCTCTTTTAATAAGTATTGGAGGTATTTCGTCATATCCACTACTGTATTTATTCTTTAGGCTGTCAATTATTTTTTCTAGATATTTTTCACTAATTGGTTTAAATTTTGAGAACGTTGCATTGTTGCTTTTTTTTATTATTACAATCTATTGTGCGCAGACCACACACACTCTGCTGTGGAGCAATGTTATTTGATACTGATAGGCTATTTAAGAATATATTCAGAGATTCTGCTATAGGTCCAGGGTCTGAAATAGTTCTCCCATTGCTTTCCAGTTTAGGGATATCAGTTTTAGAGTTTTTGTTACCGACCTCAGAGTTAATAATTTCCCAAGTTGTTTTACTTATATTAGAAGATTTATGTATTTTCCCCTTAAAAAACGTTTTTTCCGTTCTAAAACAGCCTTTTTTTAAATTCGATTCTTTTGCTTTACTTTAACAGTTAAATATTTATCTTTTGAATTTCTGGCTATATTACTAAGTTTAATCAAGTCTTTTTTTTGTTTCTTTAAGGTCGGCAGAAAGCCAATGTTTTTTGTTATTGTGTTTTCTTGAAAGGACCTTTGGAATGTGTAAATTAAAATTATACATAAGAATACTATGGAATATTTCAAATTTTTGCTCAATAGGGGCCATATAACAAGGCCCCACTAGAAAAAACAGGCCATGTTGCAGCGCAACGCTACGTCACAGTGGTGGATAGCTGTACTTAAGTTGCCAGATGTAAATATAAAATTGTAAACATGTATTAAACAAATATAACCTGTGGAATGTTTCGTTAGTATTTTTGGTGATGTCGTTGTGTCTTGCGCTACACAGTTTTTTTGGTACAATGAAATATTGTGTATAGTAAAAAATAAAACATGCCGTACTGTTGTTGCGTCCCAGGTTGTCGGAGCAATTACTACAAGGACAGAGAAAATGTGTCAGTGCCCATTTTTTCATTCCCAAAAGACCAAACTAAAGCAAATGCCTGGACAAGTGCAATACACCGTAGTGATTTTAAACCAAGTTCGAGTTCAAGAGTGTGTATTAAACACTTCGACGAAAGGTTCATTGTAAAAGAAGACTCTGTGGTTCGGCCTGACGGGACGGTATTGTGTGTTCCTCGAAACCGTCTAAAGCTCACAGACGATGCAGTACCGTCAATATTGTACAATGAGCCAATTTACATGCCAGAAACATTACACTTACCTACACAAACTCCAACACAGTGGGTAATTGAAGGGGGACAAAGTGTTTTAAGCCAACAGGAAGAAGAGCAGTCAAAGGACATTATCGAAAGCTTCATAAGTTTAAAAACATATTTGAAAAGTAATTGCGTCCCTATTGTAAAAAACGTTAAGTGCAATATTTTTGACGATTTTATCAATGTATTTAATGTAAAATATATCAATGTACATGTTCCAAAGATTGAGGTTTCCCTAGTAATAAAGAAAGACTTGTCGTTTGTTGTAACTAAAAACGACTTTGTAATTAACAATATCACCAACACTTGTCCTGTAATCTTTT